CTGGGTTAGCAAACGTGAGGGTTGGTTGGAAGACTCGATATTGTCTTGGGCTTTCAAGAACTTCCTTCAGATAATAACCCAGCAAGACAGGGGAAAACTGCCAAATAAATTAGGAAGAGCTGCCCGACAGGAGCCTTTTCAGAACCTTTTGAGTGCAGAAAACCCACTCTCTTCCAAGAAGGTTACCGGTCCAGGTATTCCCTGAATTACCCTCATTGTTCTGAGGGCCCCGGGAAAAGGCCTGGTGCTCCAGGAGCCAACCCTTTGAAGAAGAGACACAGTCACGTTCAAACCAATTTGACCTTGAAGGGCAGGGTGCTTAGAGCCCAGCTGCCTGGCTGGGGTTTAAGAGAAGATTATTTCCAGAAAGAAATGAGGCAGTTCTTTCAGCCTCAGGCCCAAGGTGATTTTTTTTCCTCCCTGGATATTTTAGGCAGTGAAATAAGACTGAGCCTTTATTTACGAAGCCTCTTTCCTGTAAGAGCTCTGTGCCTTGTTTGCCCTGGAAACACTCCCCAAGAGAGAAAGCTGTGGAGGAGTTAGCCTGTTTCATAGGTGGAGGAAGGGTGCAGGCCCTTGGCAGGCAAGTGGTTTACACTGGTCACAAAGCCAGGCAGTCTCCAGGTGATAGGAATTGCATCTGTGTTTCTGGAACATTCTGGTACATTCATTTTTCCACTGGAGTGGGGTTTCCAACCTTGGCACTGTGGACATTTGAGCCTAGTAATTTCTGTTGTGGGGGGTTGCCTGCTGCACTGAGGGGTGTTTCACAGATTCCCTGGCTTCTCCCCACTGAATGCCAGTAGCACCCTCCCCTCCAAGTGATGACAACTGAAATGTCTCCAGATGTGCTGAGTGAGAACCACTGGCCTAGAAGGCGGGCTGGGCCTCTTGTTTGAAGAGGACAGCACTCATGGTCCCTCGATCTGCAGAGGCCCCTTCACATCTAAGCCACATGTGTCCTTCATCAGCGAGGCCTGTTTGAATTTTGATCCTCGCTCCTCCCTGAGCCCAGCAGCCAAGGTGTGGCCCACCACCTGGCCGTGTGGCACTCAGGCCTCTCTGAGATGGCCCTCTCTCTGCATGTGTCCTTGTCTGCCACCTCTCCTGCTTTCTCAGCACCAGAAGTGAGCTCCTGCAGGGTGGGAACCTGATCCCTCTGTTCACTGCACCATTCCCATCCATCATAGCCCCTGAAGTGGTAGTGTTCAAAGGTGGCTTGTAGAAATAAGGAATGAATGACTAAGGGAATGAATGAATGAAGACACAGACAGTCCTTGGATAAGCAACGGATGAGGGAAGGGGCTTAAAAAGGAAGTGCCGGTTTTCCCCAAGCTCCCAAGATTTCATCCAGGTGACATCAAGTATCCACAGGTGGCTGTACCAGCCCTGGGGTCCTGGTGTTCATGGCAGGAGAACATGGACAATGGCAGGCCGGGACACACTGGCAAAGATAGGGGTGGCTGGCTGGCTGTCCCCTCTATGCACCCAGAGTCTGGCTCCCTGACCTTTCCCACTGGAGTAAAGGAGGCTGCCCTGGCTACTTGCAGGACACCAGCCTTGTTCCAAGATAGGAGGGGGGAAAAAGAAACCCAGCCCCACAGGGTGGGAACCTGATCCCTCTGTTCACTGCACCATTCCCATCCATCATAGCCCCTGAAGTGGTAGTGTTCAAAGGTGGCTTGTAGAAATAAGGAATGAATGAATAAGGGAATGAATGAATGAAGACATAGACAGTCCTTGGATAAGCAACGGATGAGGGAAGGGGTTTAAAAAGGAGGTGCCGGTTTTCCCCAAGCTCCCAAGATGCAAATGTATTTAAAACAGCAATTCTCGCAGCTGCCAGCAGATTACTTTTCTATGTAGACTGGACGGCTTTAACAAAAAATGAGAACTTCCCTATCTGCTCTTTAAAGATAAGCCCCATTTCCCGATTCAGTGGGCAACAAAGGTCCAGAGGCTTGGGAGACTGGAGAGATTCAGGCCAGTGACAGAGCCAGTTAGCTCCGATCCCACAGGTCCTTGTGGGTGGTGGGACTAGGAGTGGAGACCAAAGGGCAGGCCCCAAGTAATGAAGACATCATGTCATTTAGGTTCTGCCTCAGCCCCCTGCCCTCCCCGGAGCTACGAGCCAGCTTTCTCATCTCTCAGTTGTCAGATAGAAAAGGAAGATTCTCCAAGAGCCTGGAAACCACTGGATTATGCCTGGGTCCCCAACAGTGATGGAGACATAACCTGGTAGACAGAGACCGCGGGTGAATGAAGGTCACACTCACTCAAGCGAGGTGAGCCACGGAAGACATGCTGATCAAGCCCGGGTGACATTCTGGACAAAGAGAACACCCAGATGCTTCCTATCATGTACGCTCTTTTAGCTCTACAATTAGGGAAGGAGTTGGGGGGGATGCACGATCTGGGGAGCCCAAAGGTTATACATTTTTTTTTTTTTTTTGAGATGGTGTTTTACTCTTGTTGCCCAGGCTGGAGTGCAATGGCGTGGTCTTGGCTCACTACAACCTCTGACTCCTGGGTTCAAGTGATTCTCCTCCCTCAGAGTCCCAAGTAGCTGGGATTACAGGCACCTACCACCATGCCTGGCTAATTTTTGTATTTTTAGTAGAGATGGGGTTTCACCATGTTGGCCAGACTGGTCTTGAACTCCTGACCTCAGGTGATCCAGCCAGCTTGGCCACCCAAAGTGCTGGGATTACAGGCTTGAACCACTGTGCCTGGCCCCAAAAGTTATACAATTTGGAAGCCTTCACAGAATAAATGAATACAAAATTACGAACACAAAATTGTTAGAGCACTTCCTAAGGCCTTGGAAGAGGCTGTGCAGGTGAGAGGTCACAGACATAAGCTGCATCAACTGCATGATAAATGTGTGTGCAAAAGAGATAGAGAGAGAGAGAAAAAAGAGAGGGAGTATGCAGCTGGTGTCTTTCCACCTGAGGTCTCTTGGGCGTGGTATTCCACACATGCCATAAGTCCGATTTACTAATGGGTGATAGTGCCCCCTCCAAATACAGCTCCTGATCCGGTGCCCCCGGCAACGACTACTCCTTGCCAATCACTTCCCAGAATTTTGTAATGCAGAAATCGGATTAGAAAGGCAGGAGGGAGGAGGGAAGGGCTCGACCAGAGAAGCCAAGTGTATGTGTATAAAAATAACAAAGACGTCCAGGCGCGGTGGCTCACGCCTGTAATCCCAGCACTTTGGGAGGCTGAGGTGAGTGTATCAGGAGGTCAGGAGTTCGAGATCATCCTGGCCAACATGGTGAAACCCCATCTCTACTAAAAACACAAAAATTAGCCAGGCATGGTGGCACACGCCTGTAGTCCCAGCTACTCAGGAGGCTGAGGCAGGAGAATCACTTGAACCCGGGAGGTGGAGGTTGCAGTGAGCTGAGCCTGCGCCACTTCACTGCAGGCTGGGTGACAGAGAGAGACTCTGACTCAAAAAAGTGAACAAATAAAATAAAATAAAATAACGAAGACATGGTAGAGGGGAGACCAGGAGGAAGAAGAAAACTCCACAGGCTGCAAGTCAGAGCTCCGGGAGAGCGTGCTGAAGGTGGACGTGGCTTTGATAAGTGAGGTTGTTGGTTAGGCACTGCATGCCCTGGTGTTGTTTGAGGACACAAGTAAATGTCCAAATGCCTTTTTATTGACTTTTGGTTGAAGCAGCAAATTTGACTAGTGGGATCAGCTGGGCAACATGGCACCCAGGTAAAGAGGGGCCTGGGTTTTAACAGAGTTAACCTTTATTCCAAAGAAGGATTTTCCATCAGATGCATGCATGCATCGTGTGTGTGTGTGTGTGTGTGTGTGTGCACGCACGCGTGCATGAGTGCACATGCATGTGTGCGTATGAGCATGGAAAGTAAAATGTCAGGTCTTAAAGCTTGATAAGATACAGAGCACCACCTATGTATTTTCCCTTGTGGTGTTCAGAGAAGTTATTCAAGCTTGGAAATAAGGGGAAAAGATTATCATGTGAAGAGCTTCCGGAATCATACCTGAATGTTGTCTAACAAGCCTGAATAAAAGTTATCTGAGTTTCTGATATAACTTTGTCTAACCATTACTATCGATCAGAGCCCAGGCTCTGTAAAGTTCAAGGCTAACTTGTGGGAGACTGGTGAGAAGGAAATGATGGAGTGTCAAGCAGTGATGCAAATGATTAACATCCAGTAGAAAAGACAACCCGAGTTTACACATTTTTTTGGCCCTGAAGGACACAGGAGACAAACCAGCTTGTACTGAACATTTCCTCAGTTCTTCCCACCCCCTTTTGAGTCTGCTTTGTCGTTCTGGTTCCTTCATTAACGAATAAAACAGTCTTGGCATGCACTCACCGTGTGCTCAGATGATAATTACGTTTCTGACATGTTTGAATCTTACACTTGACATCAGCCCCTTTCCCCAGTCCCTTTGGCAGTGAACTTGTTTGATCCTTTCTAGGTTATTCCAAATGAGAAGCCCAGACTCAAGGCACATAGATATCATGTCAGCTTCTTTCGATTCCATCTCCTTTTTAATCTCTGGTAATTTTCAGAACGCAAATTGTGATTTCGAGTGTAGCTCAGATAACTTCTATGCTCCATAAGACTCAGCCTCTGCTCCTCAAAGAAACCCAGCTAAATAATCAACAGGAAATGAAATATACTTCCAGTTTCTACTTGCATTTTCAAAGGAGATTAAAGGGATCCAAATCACAACGCCCCCACCCTGGGCACTTCTGAAAAATCCTTTTCGCCTCCTCTCCTAGCCTCTCTCTGCCAGCAACTACCCCAGAGCCCCTCGCTCAGCAAGGCTTCAGGGTTCCCTCTCTGCTCTAATTCTCCTGGACACAGTCTTCGGGGGCCTCTGTGAGGAACAGTTTTGATTACAAACAACAGAAAACTGATAAACATTGGTCTTAACCAGAAGAATATGTATTGCTCATGTAACCAGATAACCAGAAATATACGGTCCCAGGCAACTTCAGACGACAACAGTATATCAAGAATCCAGACTTTGTCATTCTTCCGCCCAGTGAAATTGTGTCCTCATACTTCTTGCCTCATGGTGGCAACATGGATGCTCGAACTCCAGACATCATGCCCTTGTATGCAGCATCTCCAGCAGGAGGGACAGGGTGGGGACCAAGGAGCCACTCCTGAAAAAACCATCTTTCATCCAGAAAGCAATCCTTCCCAGGTGCAACCATTCCTCTCTTCTCACATCTAAAACTGGGTCCCATGGCCATACCAACTTATAAGGGAGGCCTGGAAACCAAGTACAGCTGGCTCTGAACAGTGAGGGGTGAGGGCTGCTGACTCCCCACACAGTCGAAAAGTTGCATATAACATTTGACTTCCCCAAAACTTAACTTTTAATAGCTTACTGTCGGCCAGAAGCCATACCTGTAACATAAATGGTTGATCAACATGTGTTTGCACGTCATATGCTTTCAGCACTGCATTCTTACAATATAATAGGCTAGAGAAAAGAAACTGTTGCTAAAAGACTCACATGAGAAAGTGTGTTTACTATTGGTTTACTATTCGCTAGTGAAATGTTACTACTAGAAAATTACTCTGAAATATTACTGTTAGAAAATATATTTACTATTGATGAAGAGGAAGTGGGTCATCCTAAAGGTCTTCATCCACTCGCAGTGAGGAGGCTGGGGAGGAGAACCAAGAGGAGGGGTTGGTCTTGCTGTCCCAAAGGTGATGGAGGAGAGACAAACTCCACATATAAGTGGGCCCACCCAGTTCAGACCAGTGCTGTTCAGGTATCAGCTGTGTTTGATAAAGTACGAAAGAATTGCCGTGGCTGTCTTAGACCCATCATTCCCTGGGACTGGGAACATCACAAGCCCCTATGACTGGGGTTGTTTGCCTGGAAGCAGGAAGGGAGCCAGAGGGGCCGCTGGGGAAGTAACCTATGCTGTTAATCACAGCCTTTAGTTCAAAGGTGGGAAAGCAACTGTGAGACAAGAGGCAAGTTTACCTAAGTCAGACTGTAAAACAATGCATGGGGCAACTTTTCAGAAAAATCACCAGGATGGTGGTGGGGGTGGGGGGTGGGCCCTCAACTCACCACTTGCTGCACCCCTTTGTGGCCTTTTAGTACCTTTGCTCAGCACTGTGTCACAGAAAGTCCCCAGATTAAGACAATGGAGGTGGGACCCCTCCGGATGCCGTCACCTCTGACCACCTGGGACCGACCAGGTAGGAGTTAGCATGCATTTCTATAGCCATGGAAACCACCTTGCTTAGCACACTCACCCTGCACCCAGCGTTGAGCTGACAGGCACGCTCATATCCATCTAGTTCTCAAAACTAATGCACGAAAAAGGTACCCATTTTCTCAGTGTTATGAATGAAGGAAAGAGGTTAGAGAAGTGAAGTGACATGCTCAAGATTAGCTACCAAGTAAGTGGCTGCGCTGAGAGTTGGCCAGTGTCGACAGAACCTCAAAAGTTGTTTTGGATTTTGTTTTTTCTTAAACCCTTAATACCTGCGCTTTCTTTTAGCAAGGGGACCACACACCACCTTAGCAAGGGGAAGGGATGGAGTGTAAGTGGGTTCTGGGTCTCAGGATGGACCAGGCCTTGCTCCTGGGGATGGGGGCCTCCTCTAGCACACACCCCATCTCCTTGGGAGACTGCCAAGTCCCCAGGCTTCCTGCTTTCCTCAGAGGCCCTGGAATCCATTCTGTTACCAATCCAGAGGCCATCCATCCAGAGGGGAGTTTCATACTGGGTGGTGCTCAGTCTTCCAGGGTCAGCAACGAGGTCCCAGAGCGATGACGGAGGGTGTGGGGTGGATGAGGTGCTCTAATATCAGGAGAATTCCTCCAGGCCCCATTTGGACTGAGTTCTGATGGTCTCTGAGGGGGCTGTGTTTTGGAAGGTCACTACCAGGACAGGCCAAATGCCTTGGGACATGGCAGGGCCGTGGTTCTGTGGAACAAGAAGGGGCTGTGCTGGCCTGGCTGGATTTCCTTCCACTCTGGACACCTAGGAAAGGCAGTTGTGTCCTGGTGAAGGGTATTAGCTTTGGACTCCCAGGTTCAAGGCCCCATGCTACCTCTCCCCAGCCACATGATCTTGGACAAATCATTTAACCTCTCAGCCTGTTTCTTCATTTGTAGTCAGTGATGGTAACAGTAGTAACTTCATCCCTGGAAAGCTGTAAATTTAAAAGAACCAGTGTGAGAAAAGCCCTTCATAGTATAGGGGTGCAATTCAGAACCTGATCAGCATTACTGCAGGGGCTGAAATTCAGACCCTGACAAGCATTACTGCTGGGGCTGAAATTCAGAAACTGACCAGCCTTACTGCTGGGGCTGAAATGCTTGCTTGTGGTTAATCTGTGGTTACTTAAACCGTGCGATCAATCACTCAGAGCTCTTCCCCCACACTACCCTACCTTCTCTCCTTTCTGTGCCCTGCCCTTAATCCTCTCTTTTAGCCACTCCTGTGGAGCTGTTATTTGTTTCCTGCGAGGATGCGTGCTGAGTATACTGAACAGAACAAACCCATATTCCAGAATACTCTTCCAGAATATTCTAGAATCTTCCAGAATCCTCTAGAACAGCCCCTCTGCTCATTTGTGGTGACACTTGGGCAAGTTGCTTTACTTCTCTGCACCTCAACTTTCTTTTCTTTTAAGAGGGCAAAGTGTCTCTGTTGGAGGATCAGGAGGTTTGGATAATGAAAAATGTGAGAACCCTTACGCACCCTGCCCACTTCTAGCCTGTCACTGAGACTCCAGCCAGTCTCTCCAGAGCCTTCTCCCCAACTCACAGCTTGGTCAGAATTTAGGACTCAGGGACCCAGCTCTATAAGGAATTGTCAGATGGTTAGTTTGTCATAAATGCAGGAGGGAGAGGCCTGGGCATCTAGGAAGTTTTTCCATCACTGTGCTTTCCAGGAAGCAGATGCCCATGCTGAGGTCCCTATGTAATGGCCCTGCCTGGGCCTGAGATTTGAAGATGTCAGCAGAGGAGAGTAAGGGTTCCTCTTCCAGCAAAGCATCTCCCAGAATCTCTGCACCTGCCTAAGGGGCTGGCTCTAAACCTGCCCCTGTGCAGGCCGTGCAGACAGATTTATTTGTGTGGAAAATTAAAACTCCATGTTGACCTTTGTATATTTTCCCGACTGTGTCATTCAAGGATTCGTAAAAGACCTTGAATTAAATCTGCTGTATTACGAGTTAGGGGAGGAAGACAGGAAGGAGAGAGGGAGTGGGTGTGAGTTCCCTACTGTCCACGAAGCCAGTCTGCCCTGAAGTCACCACATGCATCGCAGCCCAGCACGCCAGCCCAGGGACCCTTGGTCCTCCACCCTGAGACCTCTAGACATCTATTCTGTGCCTTCCACTTCTTCCCTCCGGCTCACCTTGTACTCCTCACGCAAGGCTGGACACAATGATAACTTATTGAATGATGATTTGGGGGTAGGGAGAAGTATAAAAGACATTTTATACAGGTGTGAAATTACTGGAGATAAATTCTAGGACAGAGAAACAGTCTAGGACATAGAAACCCTCTACAAGGGCTCCAGGAATCTTACCAGAGTCTAAAGCTGCGGTAGCCAGTACTTGTGGCTATTTAAATTTAAATGCATTGAAATGAAATAAAATTTAAATTTAATTCCTCCATCACATTAGCCATGCTTCAAGCGCTCCACAGCCACCTGTGCCTAGTGGCTACTGTCCTGTACAAAATAGACAGAAAGAACAGTGTCATGAGCACAGAAAGTTCTGTCAGGGCTGAACACGGTAGGTCACACCTATAATCCCAGCACTTTGGGAGGCTGAGGCAGGAGGATCGCTTGAGGCCAGGAGTTTGAGACCAGCCCAGGCAACCAAGTGAGACCCCATCTCTACAGGAAAAAAAAGAAAATTAGCCAGGCGTGATGACACATGCCTGTAGTCCCAGCTACTCAGGATGCTGAGGCAGGAGGATTGCTGGAGCCAGGAGGTCAGGGCTGCGGTGAGTCATGATTGTGCTCCAACCTGGGTGACAGAGCACAACCCTGTCTCAAAAAATAATTAAAAAAAAAAAAAGTTCTATTGGATGACACTGTGCTAAAGGAAAGCCCTGATTTTTTAAAAATTAAATATTTTATTGTTTTTTGGGGGGTGGGGGGTAACAATGGTGACACTACTTGTTAAACCATTTAGAAAGCACAGAATAACACAAAAGAGAGTCGAGAGGGACCCAGGTTTGGCTGCGGGCTCAGTGGCTTGATGAACCCCTGGGCCCTTGGAGCAGAGCCAGGATGGGCACAGGAGCAGACGAGTACGTTCTGCAGTACTGACATTGCCAAGGAGAGGAAGAGGATGCCAGGAAGAAGAGGATGAACACCTGAAGCCCCTGCCCAGACACTTGATGGACCTGTGAAGGGCTCGGGGCCCTGACGGTGAAGGGAAGTCTTAGTCAAGACCCAGACAGAAAAATTAAGCCCAGTGGATAGACGTGCATGCCAGGAGCACCGGAAAGCCAAACCCCAGGACAGTAAGGGCAACACAGAGCGGGTAACAGCAGGAAGTCCCCACTGCCCCTGGGCTAGCAGGACAAAGGGAGGAGGGAGAAAGCTGTGTTGTCTGAGCCGCCAAAGCTGAGGCTGCCTATGGGGTGTTAGGGCCACAGAGGAGGTTCCCCTGCTGCTGACTGAAAGAGGGGGACATACCTGGGCGTCTCCCCCTTCCCTCCCTCCAACCTCCCACTGGAGCAACCCCTTGGCTGAGCACAGAGGGAAACCAGTGGGAGGAAGGGTGGATTGGAAAACGTGGTTCTCAGGGGAAAAGAAGGAGAGGGTGTGGGAGCCAGCAGCCTCGGGTGCTCTGTGCTCAGGACAGAACTGTGTCACCTCAAATTTCTATATGAAAGCCCTAACCCCAATGTGACTCTGCGTGAGACTGGACGATTTGGAGGTAAAGTTCAGCAAGCTCATAAGGGTGGGGCCCTAATCCCATGTGATGGCTGGCCTTGGTGGTGGAGATTTTGCTGTCACTTTAAGCACAGACCCAGGAAAAGCCACAGGAGCACACAGCGGGGAGCCAGCCATATGCAAACCAGGAACAGGGTCCTCGCCAGAACCCTGATCCAGACTTCCAGCCTCCAGAACCATAAAAAACGCATTTCTGTGGTTGAAGCCACACCGCCTATGGCATTCTTTCATAGCCACCGGAGCCCACGAAACCGCTCTGCAGTTCTGAAAATACAGCCCCACAAACTGCACGTGCTGGGAGGAGTCTGGTCCCGGCTGTGACTTAGACATGGCTGGTTTGTCCCCTCCAAGTCTCGTGTTGAAATCCAATCCCCAGTGTTGGAGGTGGGCCTGGTGGGAGGTCTTTGGGTGGTGGGAACAAGGGCTTTCTTCAGGGAGAGAGTTTTGCTCTATTCACTCCCATGAGCACTAGTTGTTGAAAAGAGCATAGGATCGCCTCCACCCACTGCTACTGCTCACTCACTCTCTCTCTCTCTCTCTCTCCTCTCTCTCTCTCTCTCTCTCTCTCTCTCTCTCTCTCAATCTTACTTTCCCATTGGATAGGGGGAGAATTGCAATAATTCCTGCCCCACTCAGTCATTGTGTGATCTCTGCACACACCAGCTCCCCTTCCCCTTCCGCCATGAGTGGAAGCAGCCTGTAGCCTCCCCAGAAGTGGATGCTGATACCATGCTTCTGGTACAGCCTTCAGAACCAGGAGCCCAATAAACCTCTTTTCTTTATGAATTACCTGCCTTCACGTATTCCTTAGTAGCAAAGTAAGTGCACTAAGACAGTCCCCAACGATGTCCACATTCTGATCGCCAAAACTGTAAATATGCAACCTTACAAGGCAACAGGAGCTTTGCAGGTGTAATTAGGGTAAGGAGCTGGAGGTGGAGGTTCTCCTGGATTTCCTGGGTGAGTCCAGTGTAATCATAGGGGTCCTAATAAGGAAGCAGTGGGCAAGGTGGTCAATGTCAGAAAGAAGTGGGGATGGAGCAGAGGTTGGAGTGATGAGCTTGCTGGGTTTGGAGACAGAGGAGGGGCCATGAGCCAAGTGGTGCAAGGGAACTCTGGCAGCTGGAAAGGACAAGAAAATGGATTCTCCCTTAGGGCCATGGAAGGAACACAGCCTGCCAACACAATTTTTAGCCCAATGAGACCCCATTCCAGACTTCCAGCTTCCAGAACCATAAGAGAAGAAACGTGTGTTGCTTTAAGCTAAGCCATGGTCACTTGTTACAGTGGCAAGAAGAAACTCATATACAGGCAAATTCTAGGAAGGCTGCAAGTCAACACTCTTCACCGGGGTGGTGCTCCATCTCCACCCTGGAAGAGCCACAGACTAGCAAAACAGGCGCATCTTTCTAGTTCTAGGTCTCTAGTACCTCATACCCCATGGGCACGAGGTTTGATGCTTGCTTGCTCAGAGCGTGAACAGCTCAGTGTGTGAGTTGCTCGGCGTGTGGTCCTCCAGCAAACCTGGGAGGCGGTAGTAGCAGGGAAGAGTGGCTAAGATGACAGATCTGAATGGCCTGCAGGTCAGGGCTGCGAGTCCTAGCTCACCCACCTACTAGCTATGTGACCTTGGGAAAGACACTCACCCTCTCTGAGTCTTAGCTTTTCCATTAGTTAGAGGGGATTGCAATCATTCCTGCCCCACACGCCAGTGTGAGGTGAGGCCTCCTGTCATTGGTGGGCATTCCTTGGTTGTCTGCTGTGTGCCCAGGTCTAGGTGCTGGGGAGACAGTGCTGTTCCGGAAACCAGACTCCTGGCCTTTGGGGAACCCATGCTCTGGCAAGTAAAATGAAAGAACACTGTCAAACACTAAGCACAGTACTAGGTATTCAATAGGTGCTCAAGCAATGCTGCCCTTGACTTCCTCCATGAAGAAATCACAGAGGTTTCAGGGGCTTGCCAAAGTCAATGTGAGCTGGGGCAAGTCGGCATGTGAATTCAGGTTTTCTAAGTGCAGTCCCTGGGGTTGCAGCGTGTTGGGGCAGAATGGTGGTGGTGGGAGCGGGTAAGGGAGATGGAGCTCGGAGAAAGGAATTTGCTCACATTTTTAATACAATTTGGCCCTTAGCCGCTGGTTGGATTTTAGCTCACTGAGGACTGGGTTGACCCCATAAGCCATGTGACAGCTTCTGTGTAAAGAGTGAAGGACTTGATATGAAGACTCCCCCAAAGTCTGCAGGATGCTGACAGCCCCCATGGGGCCTGTGGGGAGGCCCAGCTCATGTTACATTCCCTGATGCAGCCTGAGCTTCCCACGACATGGTTTCCCAACATTTCTCTGGCTCTCCATGCTCTAGGTCACCAGGCCTCAGAGCTCATGGAGATCCCTGAAAATGCCCCAAGAAGAAGAAGAAAGAGGTTTTGCCTGTCCCGTGCCCCATGGGTCTGGCTCCCAAAGAAAGGAAGGCCTGAGGCCAGAAGCCTGGGGTCAGAGTCTGGAGTTGGTCATTTGTAATGGGGTAGGGCCAGTCCCTGGGAATAGAATGCAGGTGGAGTGGGATCAGGC